TTCATAGGATTTGTAGAATAGTTTTTATTTCCTTTTGGACAGAAATGTGTCAGCTTTGGTTTTTTACTTTCATAAGGAAATGCTTGAAAGTCCAGCATTGCATCAGATTATATATTAGCACTATGTAATTGTTTTCCCGCCTCTTACACAGGATCGATAAAAACTAAGCCACTTAGGAAAACCCCTTTCGAATTGCAGGCTGAAGTGTCTAGTCTGTTGTTCCTGGACCACCTTTACAGAGAAATGTAGAAGTTTTTAAAACTGAAGTTTGAACATAATTTCTTAAGCAATGTCAATTATTTTATTTCCTGAAGAAGTGTTTTTGTGTTTCTGTTCAAATATAAGCTTTAAGATTGTTAAGTAGGATCACTTATTTTTCTTCTAAATTTGTTAAACTATATCTTTTCCATTTCTGCTCAGCAAAAAATACTTAAGTATCTGTTCTGAAAGGCAGAGATGAAAGTGTAAATTCTGCAGTATTTAGCAGTCCATTGGAGGATTCGATCACTTTTTTCACCTTGCTTTTAGCAAGAGCAATGGCAAAACTGACTACTCTCAAAGAACACAAAATAAAATCTAATTTATTCCTACAAATTATTTCTGGTTATGCTAATCTCGAGTATTTATTTACATCTAGAGCAGGGCCAAACTCTGAAACAGATGCCTGAAGATTTTTTTTTAAACCATTTATATATACTAGGAAATTCTAATTAATTTTGTGTGAAAGCAGATGTTTGTGGATAAATAAACCTTTTTGTTTGTTTACACGTATTTCACCAAAAAAATCTGTTCTTAAAACATTGACCCTGAAAAATGGAGAGGCTGGGGCGAAAGTATTTGCTGGGCCTTTTGTCTGAAATGCACCTAGGTTTGCTTGTCTGTTCAGGGGGCTGCTTAGCATTTAGGAGGAAAGCTATTCTTTAGTTCAGGTATGAAAATGTGCAATACTTCATATCAATTATTTGGCTGATTGCTGAAAGTGCGTTGGAGTGAGGAGGCATTGGCTAGTTCTGGCCTTCACTAATGGGAACATTTCAGAATGTGGATGAGTAATTAAAGTATAGAATGCAGAAAATTAGGCCAAAATTGAATAGAGGTGAATAAGTATGCATTCTGTTGTGCAGATGTTGGAAACAGATTATTTTGGATACCTCTTTCTATCTACATCTTACTTGGTTACCATGTAAAAATCGGTCATACACCATGTAGATTGTTTCTCTTCCCATTGCCTTTTCTGTTTTTTATGTTGTGATGTATCTGTATAGGTAGTAATTTAGCAAAATATCCTATCTGCCAGGTGTGGGAACTAGCTGATTGTATTGTAATACCAGATCATTACTTAATTCATATGCAACCTAGCCTAGCACATGGAAAGCATTATAAATCTATTTACAGTGTGGCTGGTCTGATGATAACATTGTATTAAATTCCCAGGTGAGGCAATTTAAGCAATTGCTTTGCCATGTGTAGGCCATGGAAATTAACTTCTCATATGCTTTAGTAATAGACGAACTTCATTGTTATGCTCAGATTAGTAGTATAGCAGAATTCTTACAGTCTGGTTACATGTACCCTACTTCACATGTAGCATCATACAGGGCGGTGGTACTGCAGATCACAGATCTTAATTAGTTTAAGCTGAGTTAATTCATTTCAATTCTAATTTAGCTGTGCTTGCCCATGAACACATTCAGTTCTATTGGGAAATGTTAAAGCTTGGGTCAAGTAGACAGATTGTTTAAAGCCAAATTGCCAGACAGAACTGAGCAAGTGTATCTGTTTGAACAGGGCTTTAAGAAAATCACCCAATCAGTATGCAAAAATCCTGTTCATAAACCAAGAGAGATCTGCCTGGAATCAGAAATTCTTCCTTGTCAGAAGGTCTGGGTACTGTAGTACATTTAAAACAGCCCCTGAAACTTTCTCTGTCTTGAAGTTCTTGTAGAAAGTAGCTTAACCCTTTTGTGGTGTGTGTTCGTGTGCATGCTACATTTGAATGCAAACATGTACACCGAGTTAAACACTTGTGTGCTCAGACTTTTTGTCTATGGATATACAAGAAAATATAAAATACAAGGAGAACTTCTATATATGACAGACCTTTACAGACAAAAACCTGCACACAGAACCTCTTAAACCTATATTGAGCTGCCCAGAAATGCCTTGGATTACAAACTCTGCAAAGCTTCTGTCTCTTCTAGAAACGTACATATAAAGTACCAGTAGACAGTGGTAACTGACAACTAAGACTAAAAATGTTGACAATTTCTTGATTTGCCTGGTTAGCTTATGTATAGAAGTCATTAACTATTTATAAAATGCATTATGAATTGGGTTCCTTCAAACTGTAGCAGTGTGTGTGACATTTCCAGCTCAAACTATCATTCTTGCATTTGGCTAAAGTACATATTTATAAACAGCTGATAGTTATGAACTGAAAAAAAAAATCTGAAAATTATTTAGTTATTGAGTTTGGACAAACGGAACTAATTTTGATAGCCACATTTAAAAGTGTTAGCCCGTATTACTTTAATAAAAATAAGAATAGTAATTCAAGATATTGATATTTTGGACAAATCCTGAAAGAACAAACGAACACTTTAGTTCAAAGGCCTTTCCTTTTATATTATTGATTCATTTGGTAGTGAAACTGTGATCAAAAGTAGTATCAAATTATTTATTGATTATGGCAAAGAGTTATACCTAATTGTAGTCAAAGGGTTATTTCTTTTAATATAATTGCTGGTTTTCAGATCATGACAGATTATTGCAATAAAAGAGCAATGATACAAATATATTTATTAAGTTCAGTGGTGATGATATAAAGGATTATAAAGGGCCTCTAAAAATTGTATTGCTATTAACATTTATTTCTTTCCTGTGAAGAATATTCTTTTTCCTTTCTTCCATGCAGGCTCTTATGAATGAGAATATCATCCAGTTAAATCTTTCAAATAAATGATGTGTAACCAAGGACCATCTCAGTCTCTACATATAATTAGGCAACTTGTTCACTGGAGAACAAGCTTGTGAAGCATCATGCTCCTCATCTCAGTCTAATAATGATAAATACATTCAACACTAACAGAATCAATGGGGCTGAGTCATTTTTGAAGTTGGGAGAGACTGTACAGTTGAACTACTAGACCTCAAATGGGAAGATTGAATCTTAATCAGAAAAGAAGATTAGATATTTATTGGTATATATTTGTAATTTCCTTCCTTGTTTGATGTGTATCAAATAAAAATAGGAAAATAATATAATTGAGCAATCTATGCCAATTTGTTGGCTTTTGGTGAAAAAAGAGAAAAACAAAACCTATCTCCATATGATATTCTTGCATACTGTGGAGTGTTTTAGTCCCCCATAGTGAAGAAATGAATAATTTAAACAGGCAGCTCTGATACCACAGCCTGTTTAAAGGTTCTCATTTCCTTTAATGCTGTAGACTACTTTAGCTTGGTTAGTATGAAACTGTGACAGCTGAGATCTCCAAAAGATTTGGCACAATTCAGCTCTTGTAGTAGGTCCATGGTATGCTTTGTCCTTGCTACGTACATCTGTAGCTTTAGTATATAATCTAGATCTGAACACGAGCAACTGAATCACAAATCGGTAAGCATTGTAACAATGATGATTGTAATAAAGGGTGAACTACACAGGATAAAAAGCTAAAATGTGTTGCTCTGAGATGACCAACACAAGGCTTACTCCGCTGCTAGGTTCCTAGTTTAAGGGGTGACCCACTTCCAAACCTCTTTGTCACAAAGGTAATTAATTTCCCTGTGCTGAGTATAATTTCTAGCGGGTTGTTTCCTGTGCCCCAGTCCCAAGCACGTTTTTTGGCATGATTGTCCAATTAGGGAAGGTTTGAGGAGGGATTTGCTTTTGCTGAGTTCCTACTGGTAGTGACTACCACAGAGTGTGAGGGAAGCTCCCATCGATAAAGGAAGGCCCTACAGCTTAGTTCATGCTACTCTTGGGTTTCTTCCTCTGCTGAAGTGTAAAATTGACTATAGCAGCACTCAAATACAAAAAGATTTTAGACAGTATGTTAAAGATCCTTTCTTTCTTTTAATGGTGAATGTAGGAATATTAACCGACTAAGGGCCTGTTATTTGGCTAACAAAGAAATTGAAAGCTGGGCTGATGTTCTCTTCATGGACTTCCCCGCTGTTCTGTGGAATGTTGTGCTATCTTGGCAATCTTCAGACATTTGCTTTCCATTGCTCGGCACTTGATCTAGTTTAGAATGATATGATGATCAGTTCATAAGCAAATCTGGTGCTCATAAGCTGTGAGTAATGACTGTCATAATGATCTAATGAATGACTGTCTCAGTTTTGTGGTGATTCCATGAACTGCTGTAAACCAATGTTTCCTCGTACTGCTGTTTTCTCTGCTTTCTTTTGCCCTTTGATTTCTGGTCCTTTCCCTGTAGGCCTTCATAGCCTTAGCAGCATAGTAAACACTTGTTAATTTTCTACATCTTTAAGTTCTACATGTTTCTACAGTTTTGTCAAATGTGTGTTGTTCAGGTTTTTGGTTTTTTTATATGAGAAAAGCTAGTCTTCCTTTCCTATATAATGGCATCACTGCAGTGTTATTCGGAGTTCGGCGTCCAGCTAGCAAGTCTTCTTCAGAAAAATACATTTAGTTCCTACACATGCACTTCTTCAATGCTTCTGATACTAGGGTATATTGCTTGTCAAGGTTACCTGATTATCAGAACTGGGATCACATATTATGTACCTTGAGCTTTACTGAAGCTGCTTTCATTGCTGAAAAGTTGAGGAGGTGACAGTCTTAGAAATGCTAAGGTTTTGCCATGCAGATTTGTCAAAATACAGCAGTGGAACTTTTTAATAACTTTTACTTGCAGAGGTTTTTTTATCAAATAGGTATCCATTAGGGGGCTCTCGAGGTTTAAGATGATCAGCCTTGATACCAATGGCTTCGGAGCTTTACTTCCTAACCCTTTTTTCTTTTTGTTTTACAGAAAAGGTCACGGATCGCCTACAGTGATGAGGTGCGGAATGAGCTCCTAGGGGATGACGGGAATTCCTCAGAGAACCAGGTAGGATGCTAATCAAGAAGCCCTAGTGGGTGGCTGGAGGGTGAAGGAGGTCACTGGCACACTGGGCTTCTCAAGCTGCTCCTTAACAGCATTAGCAACAACTCATGTGGAAGTGATACTGTTTAATGCAAAGCTGGGGTCTTAATCAACTTCAAAATGTTTCTTGGAGATCTTACATTTAACCCTTTAACTTGTGATCACTGTCTGCTATCTTAAAAAAAATCTTTTCTTCTCTTTTCTTTATTATTTAGTACTTAAGAAATAACTTGAAACGCGCTGTTTGCCGACAAAGCCAAGGTCTTCACCTCAAACACATGTAAAAGGAATAAAAAAAGTACATAATGCAGCTTTGATAATAATGCAGTATAATTAAATCAACACTGGCAGGCAAAACAAATGAAAGTGCGCTCTCAGAATTAGGCAGTACCCCACTCAGTTTCCTTGTGTGATTCCTTCCCTAAACAGATTTTCTCTCCTTGTACCAAAACCACAAGTTGTACTAATAAAAGCATGCTTTCATAATGCATGTTGTACTAGAATGCAGAGTGCTATCCATCTCTTTTAATGAAGGAAAGCTTGATAATCCTGAGGCTTTTTTAAAATCTTGTACCCGTATTGTTGTTCTGGATGCTACAGTGAGGATCCTACTAGACTACAGAAAATCATAAAGGCAACACTATATTCAGGGGACTTTGACCCACCTGTTAATTTCTTCTGGTGCTGAAAATTGTTTGACAAGCTGTCTGAAAGCAGAATGTTTCTTTTTTTTTTTTTGAAAATCATGTCAGCTGTAATCAAAGTTGTGCATTTTGAGTTAGAAGTTAGTTGAAAGTTTTCTTAAATATCAGATTTTTTCTTCTGACCAAATAGAATTTAAATTATTTTGGTAGTGAAAGTGAAGCTTGTTTAAATGGTTACTTGATAAGTGCAATATTAAATAAGGAAAAGGAACAGAACCATGTTCTGAAATTCTTAGTATCTTCTACCTTCAATATAAGCTCAGTTCCACTAAGGATTGGAAAAAAGAAAGACTTGGAGACTTATCCCAGTACAATGAATTTTAAAACACAGACCCCTTAAACCTTAATCTTATACAGTATTTTAAATGTGCTGTGTAAGTTTTAAAGTCTGTAATAGACTTTAATACATACATTAATGAAATTATATACAGGACACAATATATCTGTAGACTCTGTAATGTACAGCAGCTCTAATATCTATGTGAAGGGTTAAATTTAAAAGGATGATTTCAGGAAAAAGAGTTTCACATTCTGCATGTCACGATCGTAAACTCAGTCTTGTGAAAGTGTTAAGATTCCCATTTTATTTCTTTTAAGGTGCTGCTATTTTTACATTTTGTGAATTCAGACATAAAAGGGCAATTGTGATAAGAAGCTTTACTTATAACAAAATATCTTATGTGTAAGGATGAGATAAAGTATTTTATTTTCACTTTTTAGGGAATGGTTAAATAACTGGTTCACATGTGCACTTTTTGCGAGTTAAGATCTTTTTTCTAAACTTGATGGAACAAACATGGTCTCATCTCAAGGAACCTTTCAACCTGATACTTTCAACCATTGGTCAACATGAGTTTTTTCTTCCAAATGACCACTTCTTAAATGGAAGAAAATTTTGGATGGTAAAGGAGTTTATGTAGTAACCCAACTTGAAATTGTCACTCCCATGCCTTTGAAAGTTCTGAATTTATTTCTTTTCTTCCTTGAAAAATGTTTTGAAATATCACCATAAAGCAGTCAACTAACTTCTTTTACATATGTGAATGCCAGTATTTTAAAAAATATTATTTATTTTGTTGTTCCAATAATCAGTATTACAGTCTTTTTCTTATGAAATATCATTATTTATATTTGTACTTAATCTTATATGCATGTAGTTATGGTTACAAGCATTTAGTGCAAGAACTTCAGTCTGATGTTGAGCTTATCAGAATGTGCAGCTATCCAAATCAAGTGTGAGGTTTGGGTACTTACCATATAGTGAACATGTTATCTCGATGTATTTAACTCAGTAACCCCAGGTCTAATCTTTCACTCCTACACATTATTATATCAATAGAAAGCTTGAACTAGATGACAAAAGGATGCTCAGGTATAACTTACAGCCATATAAAATATTTGAAGATGTTTCAAATTCTTGCTTTAATTTTGTCTGATGGAAATAAATATCGGTAGATGGACTGACCTTCACCCTAATGTTATGGGACTTCCACTTAACAATCAGTTTGGGTTAGGTTGAATTAGGTAAACTGAAAGGTGGTGGGGTTTTTTTCCCCAATTCAGTCACCAAACTTTGAAAGGGGAGAGGAGAGGAGGGATTCCTTTTCTGACAAAGGAGTTGTTGAAAAAAGTTGCCAGCTCAGAATTGCTCCTGTACCAATCCACAAATATTCATAAAATCTGCCAATAGAAATGCTGAATATCTGGTTAGACTGGGGTGTTACGCAAGGGAAACAAGAGATATGAGCTGTACATTTTAGGTATGGTCTTTGTCATCATGATAAACATTTGCAAAATGTTTTTGGTGGAGGGAGAAGACAAAAAGGAACTTGATGTATACTGGCTAGTACAACCATATTAAGTATCCAGAAATAAATGGGGCACAATTTGGATCCTTTCTTTGTTCAACTTCTATTTTTTGAGTTGAGTTTCAAAGGTACAGTTACAGCAAAACACAGCCAAGTTATAAGCTGTAATGAATAGGGTCACAGGTATGAGTTTCCAGTTGTTCTCCCAAGAAGAAAGATTGAAGTACAAAGGGCAGATTGAAGAATTAGCAAATTATGATTGGTCTTTTGTCTTCTTCTTTTTTCCTAAATGTCTCCCATAAGTAGCTGTCATCATGTGTAGGTGACAACAACTTAGAATACCGTGGCCTTATAATGATTATACCAAGATTTAACTAATTTCACCATAAAGCATATAGAAACTTCTTGTAAGAAGTTATAAGAAATACACAGTACTGCTATTCAAAGCTTTTTTTTAAAATGAATGCATCTTTGTTTAATGAGATAAATAGTGACGTAATGCTCTTAATGTATTTAGGGTTTAGTAAAGTCATTGTTTAGTATACATTAATTTATTCTTAATTTGAATTGGGTGAATGTAGTCAGATGAGGCGCATACAGAGGTTGAGAATCAGGAGACATCCCTTCTCCCATCAAAAAAGCCCCACGTCAAAACCCCAAACCCAAAAACCTACTGTGTGCATTGGGTTGTTATTTCTTTTCCAGGAATGGTCTTAAATGGGCTCTGTTACTTTCAAGTCTTATTTGTAATTCTGGCCACCAATGTTTATCAAATCCTTTGAAAGTTTTGAGCTTTTCAGTGCAATGATATACTACTTGAAGTTGTGGCTTCACTTTAATAATCATAGAACTATTCTATGTGGCGTATGTTTTTTAGAAAGTGTATGTTGGGTTAAATCGGAAGTCCTTCTCGACCAAAATAGTGTCAGGTACAGTATTACCAGCTTTCTTGAAATACAATAGTATTCGTTTCTCTTTCACAACTATCTTCATTAATAAGTTTAAATAAATTCGCATTAGGTTAAATTGCGAGTCCGTATACACATACACTGTATATGTGATTTATGGCAAACAAATATTTTGTGGCTACTTAATTTCTGACTACAAAGTTCTGATAATATTAGATTTGGGCTTGCTGTGCATAAAGTGTGTCAAACTTCAGCTACAGACCAGGGGGTGAAGTTGGTCAATTTAATTCCCCAAGATCTAAAGAAGGTCGGTATCATTTCATATAGCCCTGGCAGAGCAGATCATTACCAGACACAAATCTGTTCGTTACATGCCGAGGGTTTATAGCAAAATAAATAGACTGTCATCATAAGTTCAGAAAATTGTGTGTTCGACCCACGATAATGTGTAAAGGGCGTTTAATAGAGTTCAGCATTTATTCGTTATCTATATGCGGACAGAGACGGCGGTAACGTTATCAGCTTTTTAAAAAAAATTCGGTAGTTTTCTATGCCACGTGACATGCCTCACAGACACACTCACACGCACACACACACACACCCCATCTCACTCCCTCGCTCTCCGCGGCGCAGTTTTGATTTTAGTCACAGCAGAAGGCTTAGCCACAAGAGATTCCACTGGTTCAAACCAGCGTAAACCAGATTATTTTTTTTCAGCCTACAAAGGAACAGATTACCTCTTGTATCGAGTTCTGTATTGCAAAAAAAAAAAAAAAAAAAAATCATCTTTGTTTCAAAAATATGCTGATTATCATAACCTAAAATGGTGGCTGCACACGGCTTAATGCTGTTTACAGTTGAGCGCTGAGCATAATAAAAATAATTTTTCAGAATAGAAAAGTAAAGGTAACACATTTTCATCAAGAGCATTGTTAAATGGGGGAAAAATACATCTTTTGTTAATTTGAATGAATATCTTTCAGCCAATGTTAAAAAAAAAAACCAACCCTCTCCCATTACTTGCTTAGCTGCAAATCCCATGCAGAGCTTAAATTCAGCCATGCAGCACAAACAAGATAGAACATTTTTGTTTGGGACCTATTGAAAAAACAAATGTGCAGCATTTTAAAACTCTCATTGATTATAGCAGGGTGGCATGCCCAAACGGGCTCTATTGCGGGAGAGTAGTTTTAAACTTTGGCCCTTTAAGTATCATAGTCAACTGAAGAATGGTGGCCTCAGAAAGAAAAGATAGCTATGTGATCAACTCCCAGATCGTCTCTTTCTAAAGAGCCTTAATGTTTGCCTTTTTGGGGAAAAAAGGGGGGGAAGATCTGGAGAAAGAGACCAATTTATGATAGGCCAAGCACTTGAATTTAAGCACCGGTTTGGCGGACAATGCAGTTTTCTTTATACCAAATTCTAGCAAAGTTCCTTTAGCTACATACTGAAGAGCCGTCTCAATTTAAGTCCGTGTGGTAGTGGCCCTCCTAATTACATCTAGTTAGAGCCTCGTTGTCCGTTTTGGTAAGGGGGTGAGGCGTACGTTCAGTTTTAGACGAGCCATATGAAACAATAGAGAATAATGGAGGTTCTTTTGTTTCCTTCGTGCTGGCGAGACTTTATTAGTAGTAAACATTCTCAGCTTACACATGTGTTGAAAATTAGTGTTATGAAAATGTAGGTGAAGTATCAGCATAAACTGAGGTAATGATGTAGCTGTTGTAATTTCGCATTCAACTGGAATCGGTGAGAGAACTGTAATTTTTTATAAAGAGCCATTCTTATGCAGACATTTGTTGTGAGTAATTATACGTTTTGTTCCAGTACAAATAATTTATCTATCTCTCTAAGGGGAGAGCATATTACAACATAGCTTTATAATCAAACTGGGGTTTTATTTAGTTTATAGTTTAGTTTATATTTGCCAGAGCATTATTATTAATAGTGTTAGATTGTGTTGATTTACAAGCATAAATTGATAAATATAAATGTATATACTATATAAGTATACACCCCCCCCCACTATGTGTGTATGTATACACACACTGTGTAGTGGTCTAGGATTAAGAACCTGGAATGGGTCTTTTCTGAGGGAAATATGTTTCATGTCGTTCCCTATTCCTTTGTCTATTTTTAAATATGCTACGCAATAAATCATAATTCTGAGCCATTTAACTAAGCAGCTTCATTTTTTTTTTTTAACTGGAAAAACCCCTCTATATGAGGTTCAATAATAAAATTAGATAATATATTTACATTAGAACTCAGGTATATGAAAATTGAAATACTGGTTACATGCCATAAAGATGCAGTCATCTATTAATAAGTTAGATCTGCTAGTAAAATAAGAAATCAGTTGTCACAACTAAAATATACAGAAAACATTCTGAAAACTTGTATATACAAAACCACTTCAGCTGTACAATCTTCGAAGAAAGGAATAGTAAACTTGTTTTTTTCTTTATAATATAGACTTCTATGAAGTCATTCCCCTTTATTTCATGATGGTGTCTTAGATGTGGTTTAAAAGAGAATTTCACACTATTCTCTTTGTTTAATGTGACAGTGTGAGAAAGTGATCTTTATTCGTTCAAAAAACTCTGCATGTAGTCTATGTTTAGGTTCTTTTAATGTGTTTGTCTGTGATTTTTAAATGCTAAACATGTAAACAGATAAATTGTCAATGTTAATTCTGTATCCTGTCACACAACTGATCTTTCTTTCCTGCCATTTCTTTCCTTTTTATCTTTTTTGTGCGTTCATGTTGCAGTTGATAAAATTACGTGAAGAGGTGAGTAGTTTCTTGCTTTTTGTTGTCTAGCTTTCCCTTTAAAGCTGAGTTTCTAAATCTGAAGTAGATCTTTTTGTTCATTGTTGCAGGGAAATCTACACAAAGCAAAAATATTGATTACATTGCTTTAAAATATTCACTGTTGTGCCTCTTTTTCCCTAACAATTGTATACTTACATAGGAATCTCTAGATCAAACCTTAGAAATTAACATTCTTTGATAGTGGAAATTTTTTTTAAAGGCACTAGAAAAAGAAGGGGAAAAAACCCCCCTATTATTTGATCTCTGCTAGAATACCATGATCAAATCAGATACAGTAATAATCATGTTTGCATCACAAAATCTTTGATGGGTAAATACATTTATACACTGATATTGAAAGTGAAAGCACTGCTTTGGTAAAAACCTGTGCTGAAACACTGTAAAAATTACACAGTATTTCACAACGTTTTGAGTTTGGTGTGAGGTGTTCAAGTAGCTTGTGTATTATAGTGGATATTGTATACCCACTGAAAATACAGTACAGGTAGACCTACGCACACATACCAATATTTATTATTTATTTGTGAGTGCTGTAGATCTGTAGGTGTAACACTAGAGATCAGTATTCCAGAACACCTTTCTTCCAGTTATAAAATGACTCATAAATATTTAGAGAGAGAAGCCTGTTTTAATGGTCAGTTCCTCAAATGTTTCAGTATATTTTCTGAAATTAATCTGCTCTGTTACTTACTGCTGTAGCAAAGCAGGTATCTGAACTGCTTTTTTTTATTATTTCCTGATAGCTGCCAAAAAGAAGGTCTCAGTAAAGTAAAGATTACTTATAGGTCAGATTTCTGAAGGGTTTCGTACGGAGAGTTTGAACCAGTGAAGTATCTGAATAAATGTGTTTAGAAGCACGAGTATTTTAACATCACATATTTGTCGGGTATCTTCTTTTTGAAATGTGTGCCCAGACATATCAGTAATGAATACTGAGCTCTGCAGGAAAGGATTTGTAAGTTTTAGAAATGGTGATGACAAAGAATTGTAAAGTAACCAGATTAAGGATAATTACAGAAAATTCTTAAAAACAGTAAGATATTTGTGATATAAAGATTCTTTCACTACTTCCCTGAATGCTTTATTTTTCCCTCTTCTTGTGGAGCTGATATTAATATGTTAAAGCCACAGAGTAAAGCAGTTAACAAAAAAAATTAAACAAAATAAACATGTAACCACATGAAAGCCCTCCCACCACTGCTGCTCTCCCCTCCCCAATAGTTCCAGTATTTAAACATGACAATATTGTTGCAAGGGTTTGTATAGCCTTATTTCTGAGATTTTTCAGAAGTACAAGGTTCATTTGCTCATCCCTTTAACAACACCTGCACGTCTGCTCCTGTGCTTTTGTGAAAGAATGTAGTAGGATCATTTTTGCTTGCAAACATAGATTATAATTTTATAAACATAAAGATTCCTAATTTGTAAGTTTACTCTGAAAATTTAGTTAGATATAAAGAACAAAGCTGCTACTTAACTGCTCTTCTTTTTGAAATAGCTATGAAGTTAAATCAGAAAATTCAGGATGTTATTGCAAAGGGCTGCGACTTGGAAGCTATACTGAACTCAGTTATATGTTTTTGAGCTTATGAATCCTTTTTGTTAGCCACCTAAAAATGTTTTACATTGCTTCTGGTAATTTTCTTTTTTGCTTTTCCTTGCTAGCCTTATAAGTTACTTTTTCCTCTCTCTGCATATTGTGAGAGAAGCAGCAAATAGAACTAAATGAAGGGATTTATTATTTTGTCTAGATCAAAATTGTACAGGTAGAGAGAGAAATAACTTAAAAAACAATTGTTAGCATTCTGCTCTCTGCACTTAGGTACCCACTATGTGTTGGATAGGCTGTAACTGCAATAGTGTTTTTATACCCAATGCAAAATGCACATTAAAGTTTAAATGAAGGCTAGTACAGTGACTCAGGCATAATTCTTAACTCGTCACATAGTGAAACATCAAGGCATCCCCAATTATAGTTCTCCTAAGGAGGTATGAACTGATCTTAAAAGAAATTGTAGTTTGCCATACTGTTTGTTAATAAAACCTGTGCTTCCTCTCATTACAGGCTCTATTCTAGCACACTTGCCGTACACAGGCTTCCGTGGAGGCTGTGTCGCTCTGTCTTTTGAGCTCCTGAGATCTCAGTTTGAATCCAGCCCACATGGAATGACTAAATCTCTAGCGATAGCGTGCCACTTTGCAAAACTTCCTTATATAACTCCAGCTAGAAGCTGTGTCTGAAGCTGCAAGACGCACTGAATCGCCTCGCTACCCACCTCACAGGGAGCAGGGGATACTGTGGGAGAAGGAGTTTGGGGAGGGGTGGGAAGCAGTTGAAAGCATCAGCTGCTCCTGTAGGGCACTGATTTCATGGCCAAAGGACAGGATGCCTCCAAACCCAAACAATGTCAATAACACCACCCTTTATAATAAAAATTATGTTTCATTATAGAATGACTTGGGTGGAAAGGTTCTGAAATCAAGCAAGAAACAGCTCTGAGTTAATGTTAGCACCGAGTTGACAGGGCTTTAGTATTCCAATTGCTCGCAGTAAGCCTCAACTGAACTGTGGGTTTGTAATTTGCTTTTTAGATTGAATGTGGCTTATATAGTATATAAAAATATACAGTTAAATGCTAATTCTTTCTGTTGGGTAGCTCTTCCACATTGTAATGTGAAATCTGATTACTTCCCCCCTCTCCCTTAACGGAGCAGGATAGTCTTTTCATTTCCAGCATACCACTACAGCGCTATACATCTGTTCTGTAATTATAATGTTCTGCTCCTTGTGCTCACTCCCAGCCTATGGTTTTGTTTTTTTTTTTTTTAAAGTATCTCCTCTCTAACTTTTAGGATTCTTACCTTCTAAACTCCTTCTTTATATCCTCCCCCCCTTCTCATCTACTTTTCTTTCTTGAGAGACATCTATGTAATAGTGTTAGGTTTCTGATGTTTTTTACAAATTTTAAAATATTTTACACTACTTATTCTTTAATATCATTTGGGGGGCAGTATTTGGAGCAGGCTTACACGTCTTTTGGTTTTTTTTCTTCTAATGGGCAATGGAGAGCAACCAGCAGATGTTATGAAAGGGTGCCTTTTAAAAAAAAATTAAGCAAAATTAACACTAATTATCTAGATTGACCATGAGTACTAAGAACATGCGCCACTCTAGTTGCTGTTGTGATTTCAATTACAGCATTATAACTTATGGTTTTAAATTTTATTAAGTGCTTGTGCTGATATTTTTTTTTTCTTGGTGGCCTGCCCCCCACGAATGCAGAAGGCTTTTTTGCAATTTACTCTTAACCTATCCACTGTGTATTAGACAACTCTATTAATTATTATAGACTGCTATTGCAGCTTTCCTGACCTTCACATTGGGTCCTATCTGTGCTGATCTAAATGCATTGTTTTAATGATTTCCCCCCCAAAAAAAAAAAAGAGGGGAAAAAAAAAAGAAAAAAATTCAAGGCAAGCTTTGATGTGGCTTTAGCTGCCTCGATCGTCTGGCCGCATCTCAGAGATGTGTCACCTATGCCGGGAGGGAATAGGGAAATCACGTTTTGAATGGTAATGATAACATACTAATCACTTCCTTTCTTTGAAGATAGAAGCGAGATATTCTGTCAGCATCCCTGGCTGCTAGAGCTTGGAGGCACTGGTCTAGGTGTATTAGCTTAAGTGTGCATGTCAATACAGCTTGCATCTCCCAAGATCCATAGGGGCTCATTAGAGCAAGGTAGATCGTTTCAGTAGACAGCCACTCAGATAATATGTATGGCACCTCCTTTTTTTATTATTATTAGAAAGCATTTCTTCAATTTTAAAATGACATCTGTCAACAAGGCAAAGTTGTAGGAAATATTTTTTGACAAATATCCAAAAATGTTGTTTTTAGGTAAAGGGGTGCTCGGAAAGGTGTGTGTGATTACTTTACTGGGGGGGCCGGGGGAGCTTACATTTTTTGATGGCTTGATTAGAGCTAGTCTAGGATCAAATTTCCAAAGGAAATGAGCTTGGTGTTTTGGATGGGGAATAAACTAATGAAAATAATAATTTAACTTTTTCACTATTGCAGACTCCCCAAGTGAAAATGTATTGGAAGACACATTTTTACTAGAGTTTATTGTTATCTCATAAATGGGCAAATGACTTCTCGGAAAAATACCTTATACCTCTGTGTGTGTGTATTATTTATAGATTCGTATATATATTTAGGCATAAGAGATGTAAATCAAGAAACCAGTGTTTTGTTTCCACATCTTTTTACATCAAACACTGTGAAGAATATTCATGCTGTTCAGTATTCTGTATGAATAGCTCGTTGTTTTTATCACCTCACTTGAGTAGTACACATAAAGGAAATATATCCTCTGCTGAAAATTAAGTTCATGTTAAAAACTACCACTTGCATTTAAAGTGATGGTTTCATCAAACTGTAGTTGAATAGAAATCATGGGTGCTTGCATACCTGTGTCACAGGGAAATCTATTTTGGAAATGCTCTTCAGACAGGTTTCCCGTATAATAGTCGCATTCTGTTGTGTGAGTTCATGTAATAAGAGTGAAGCACATATTCCACGTTTCAAAACAAAAATGATTGGTACGCATAATTATGATTGATCATAGAACCTGCCCCTTCCAGTGGTCCTTGTAACAGGCTCTTCCATAAAATATACGTGGATATTTTTATGTTTTGGAATATGAAAGCACAATTAAAAAGGGGGGGAGAACATTGTAGACTGCTGCCTGATTTTTTTTTTTCTCTCTCTCCCCTTTTCTTTTTCAGAGGGCACATCTGCTCGATAACACAGAGAGGCTGGAAAGGTCATCTCGGAGACTAGAGGCTGGATACCAAATAGCAGTGGAAACCGGTAAGAATTCTGAGAGTGAGCAAATTGTCTTGCTTATGCACAGCAGTCTTCACAACACATGACATTTCAGGGAAACTTCAAAGGCGAAACAGAGACAGCAGCCCGAGATGTGGTTTACATATTGGGGAGACAATTGGGAGCTTATTTGCGCTTATCTTTTTTCAAGTTAAAAGGCATGACATCTACTGAAAACAGTTCCTGAGGTTTAAAAGTATACATCTGAAAAGAGATGGAATACTTTGTCTAAATTCTACATTTGTCTTAATATGCAGTTACATGTTGTCAGTTTACCCACCCGCAATGATTGCTAGCACACACTGCAGACTCCAGTTGTTTTTGTCTTTTACTGTTATTCACATATGTAAAAAATATAATTTTAATGAATTTATAAGATATTAACTACAGAGGATATCTAACAAGGTTATCAGCTCAATTTTCTTGCAATCAGTTCAGTGACTGATTATTCAGCTGTTTCTGTGGAATGAAAGAAGTAAACAAACCATACCCCAAAATATACAGATGGAATAAAATTAAGGGAGAAGGCTAAATTGAGGCTCAGTTACTGAATTAGTGTTTTTTTATTGACTACAAATTTTCAGTTGGTATTTTCAAAATGTTTTTACTAAGTTTTAGCAACTTATAGTGGATTTTTTTTAAACCAGCAATAGTTAAGCCTCCAAAATCTAATCCCCTTGAATAAAGCTTGTGCAAAGTTACAGAAAGTTTCAGAAAATGTGTGTTTGAGCAGTGAAGTAATTTTCTGGCAGAGAGTCCCAATTAATTGATATATTCCAATATCTTTTTAGAATTCAAACCTTATTTAAGAGGTAAGTTAAGTTGAACCCTTGTAGAGTTAAATATGGCTATGTTAAATGAATGCTATTACTAAAGTGCCTGCATTTTAATTATATTGGGCTTAGTGCCGTGCACAGTAATGAAATGAATGTATGGAACATACAGTGTAGATTTTGGAGGGGACAAGGAGAATTAATTCTTTTATGCCAGAGGATGACACCGTTAGTAGAGATGGATGTATGATAGCAATTGAGTTTGCTTTCCTGCAGATTTTCAGGTCTGTTCTATCAATGGTCATAACTGGGTTTTTTTAGAAGGACTATTCTAAACTGGTCAAAAATGGTTCCTGATCTGCTTTAGTTGAGCCCGGATCTTTCACAAAGAAACAGTTTATAAAAATTCAGAATGATCCTTTTGGGGAAGAGATATCTTATATCCTTTTTTACTCCATGTGGAATTTGTTTTATGGAGATGATGATCATGTTAACTTCCATTGCATATCTCCATGGTGATCTCTGAGAAATATGGTTGGAGTGCAAATGTATATTTATATGGAAAGGGTGTCTTTCGGTATCAAAACCAGGTGCAACTGCATTGAATTCCATAGAGTCACATTAATTCACCCCATCTTTGTGTCCATCTTTACTTTTCATCTTAAGCAGGGAGAGAGAGAGGGGGAGAGAGAGGGGGAGAGTTCTTATTCCCTAAACTTTGTGAAGACTAGTAGTGTAGCGATATTATATGGCATATTAATATTAAATAATTTGGAGATTATGACTTTGGAAACATTAACTTCATTGTAAGGTAGATTTTTGCAGAAGATTTTTATGGAAACAGATTAATTATATTTAGTTCCTGGCATGGATCATGATGATTCTAGGTGTTGAGTGACTTTAGATTAATTCAGTGCAATGAAATAACTTACTTTTGGAGTTACTGTATGATCATTCTGTGTTGAGGTGTCATAATAAAATGAAATACTCCATTTTGGAGTTTCAAGTCATCATTGAGTTGCCTCCTCAGACCCTGTCTTGCCTTGATTATTACTTTTGTTGCATAAAGATCTTCTCTACAGAGCACCGGTGAGGCCATATCTGGAATGCTGTTTCCAGGTCTGGGCTCCCTGGTATGAGAACGACATTGACTTACTGGAGTGAATCCAGCAAAGGACCATGAAGAGAATTAAGGGACTGGAGCATCTTTCATGTAAGGAGAGGCTGAGGAAGCTGACACAGTTCAATCTGGAGAGGAGAAGGCTCAGGGGATGCTTATCAATGTGTATAAATAGCTTATGGGTTGGAATGAAGAAGCGGGAGCCAGACTCTTCTCAGTGATGCCCAGTGACAGGACAAGAGGCAAAGGACACAAATTAAAACCTGTGAAATTCCATCAGAACACAAGAGAAGAATTTTTTACTGTGGGAATGGTCAAACACTGGAATAGGTAGCCCAAAGCAACTATGTAGTCGCTATCTGTGAAGATATTCAATATCCAGGTGGGCACGGTCCTGGCTCTAGGTGACCCTGCTTGAGCAGGGCTTTGGACTAGATGATCTCAAGAGGTCCTTTCCCACCTCAGCCATTCTGTGATTCTGTGGGGAGGAGAAGGTAGAGGTAACAACCCTTAAGTATTATTCTACTTTATTTATGTGGTGTCTTTTCACAATTTTGGGTATATATGTTACTTACTGTAATGAAGCTGGATGATTTTCACCTCTGGAATAAGTCACATTTGGGTCTTTCTTATTACCTTAATCTGCAAAAATACATATACTATTTTAACCTGCCCCTGTGATCATCTAAGGATTAATCTGACATCACATAACTAATTTAATGCAATTTCACATTACCATTCCTGAAACTAACCATGATAAATTGGAAGCTTTTTTCCTGTTTGCATCTCTAAATTGATAAGCCCTTTCATCTTATGTACAGTTGTTCATACAAGCTGAGATCTGTTGGAAGGTCTGACTTCCTTCTTTGAGCGGTGCCATTGATTCATGGGCTTCAGTGGTGTCTGAACAGGATGCCACTTATGTCACCATCTCTAAGACACAATCCAACACTGACCGTCAGGCTTTCATAGTTTGTTGGCTATCATTTGTTGATACTGAGGATGCTTAAATCTATGCAGAAGTCTCCTGAAGGACTAAGCAAAGCCTTTAGTATCTGGTAACCAGTTCCGTAGTACTCGAGGCCTACTGTAAAGAGAAGAACATTATTCTAAATATTCATAGGGGTATGTTGCAAACTTTACAGGCATTTGAGTAGCAGATTTGATAGACCAGTAAGCTCATCAGAGCATTTGCGTTTTAATTGCCTGAGTTGTATGGCACAAACACACGAGGGAAATGTCTTGGGACATACAGGGAAACCACCGGCTGTTTAAATCTTGAAGGTCTCCATTGTTTGTACCCAGTAAGGGAAGTTTTAATAACAGCTGATAACACTGCAAAGTGCACTCATCTGCTTTTTTTTAATAAAAATATTGTTTTAAAAAATATTTCTTGTTTTTATTTATATGTTTTTATGTTATCGTCTCCTTTGCTGGTGAGGAACAGACAAGCAAGTTTACAGCCTGGTTAGTAGGGATTTCCAACACCACTCATTACTTCTGATGGTAGAGCTCAGTATTCTTAATTTCAGATCATTTAGTCTGACCATATAGCCTCAGATTATGAGAAAGATTTTAAAAATGCATGAAAATTGCTGGTTTCAGTGGAAAGGAGAGTCCATTGAATTAATCCTGATTAATCACAAAGTTCTTCCCGATTTGGAGGGGGAGATTTCCTAATTCCATTCCCTGTGCTTGGATTTCCACAGCGTCAAATTGTATTCTAGAACTTCCTTATTTTTCCTGCAGTGTGTAGTGTAATAAGGTATCCATTTCTTTGTCGAGTCTTAGATATGTTTGCTCAGATGGGAGTATTTTGAATGAGGAATAGTTCAAAATGCTTCGTTCATCTTCAGAGATAAAATTGGCATGCAAATGTAAAACACTGTCAAGGAGAAGAGCAGCAAACCTTGTTGTAGAGGACCATTGTAATCTGCAGTTGAATTGCTTTTGGTAAGTTCTACTCAACTGCCAGATACTTTCTAGGGAAAAAAGATTCCTGGTGTTTATATAATATAGACTTCACCTTGTTTCATGACAATGTAGGGGAGAGATCCAACCATTGAATGCCATCCAGGCTTTCATGGCAAAACTACACTGCAGGTTTTTTTTTTTTTCTTTTCCTTCATGAACCTTAGATATTTCTATAGCTTTCAGTACATGTACTTTGAGAACAAGTGTTGAGCTTGCCTCTGTGAGTGATGATTATTGGATATTATGCTGGGCTCTGAATGTCTCTGAAATATCTGTGATACTAGAAGAGTTTGTAGTTTGTGGGTAATAGATCTATTCTTTGCACTGAATCTTAAAATTTTGTCTTGGCTTCTGTTTTTACATCTCTCTTGTAATATGTAAACATGGTATTTTAAAGAAAAGAAATCAAAGGAAGAAAAACTCTCTTGTTCCTTTTACAGAAAATCCTTCTGAATCTCAACTTTAGGTTGCTTAAAATATTTTTTCCAATCCTCCTTGCTCTTTGGGAATCCCAGGAATATGTAATTCTGAAACAGTTAAAGGAGAAATATCTCTGAGCAAGAGACGCAACATCTTATTTCCCACCCTTGTGTGACATGAATAATTCTCGGTACTAATGGATCCAGTGGCTTTCACCTGTTATAATGAACTACAGTCAAACCTCCCTTTCTGGACTGAGCCATAAATACATAATGTAATGTAGTGGTAGCCTAGCTGACAGGCAGATGGTCAGACCTGCCTCAAAGTATTGGCAGGCTTCTAGGTGGAATGCAAATGAGAATCTCATTAGACAAAGAGCTGTGTTTTCTTCTTTATGAAATAATAGTAGTTATTGTCTTATCTGGATGCAGAATTGAGTGAAAGGACAGTGAACGGATCAGTGAAAGTGTCTTAAATGTTCATAGAGGGCTCCTGAAGGCAGGAGTCTTCAAGTTCAATGACTTTAGCATGAATAGGGAACTATTTCAAAACAACTCCAGTAGGTGTCTTGCCAGATGTGAGTAATGGAATTTGAGATACTAGCACATTGTCCACTGCAGCATGCCACGGATTTGGATTCCCGACTCCTTTACTGATGGAACAACCTGAACCCCAAGCACCTGCCCTGAAAGACCTTC